TTTTACATTCACTATTGGATATTTCATCAACTTTTTAATTAATTTAAAGGTACATGGTGATCAATATGAAGGTACAAAAGTGAATAGATTTGCTAATTCAACAGCCAGCCTAAAAATTTCTTATCGATTGAACAACGGGGGAACAGAGAAGTGGAAAGCATTGGGGCGGTGGCGGTGGGCACGTTCCGGGAAAAAATTTATTTGCTCTTGCGGTTAATTCTCGTGTCCCTTCGGCCTGCCCCTCTCCTCCTCGGGGTCGTAAAGCGACGGAAAGGGATGCGCGTCAACGTAAGTGAAATCGATAGCGACGTAAAAGCAGAAGTCACAAAAGTCGGTGTGGAAACGGTTACGACGCTGACAGCGTTAAGAAAATTGAATAGTAAAAGGGCCAACAGACTAACGCTGCAGGGTAGGAAAAGAGAGAAAAAAGAAGTGGAAATTAGAAGGGGTTGGAAGAGGGTGTGAGGAGAGGAAAAACAGGAAGAGACAGGGAGAGTATCGTCGAGAAGAAGGAATGAATGGAAACGGTAAATTCGTGAAAACAGTTAACCCCCGCGGACGTTAGTACAGCCGTTATGAAACTTCGTAAACGTCGGTGAAAAGGAGTGGGTGAAAAAACAAAAAGAAGAAGAAAAAAGGAAACACTAAATTGCACGGTGGAAACTTCAAAGGCGGAAATAAAATCTGTAAAAAGAAGCAGACGGCCAACGCAAACAGGAAAAACAAGAAGTAATCAAGAAACGTGCCCGGAGGATGTGGGTTATGTTTAATTTGTTTCGCTGCGGAAAAACGAAGTAAAGATAAAGGGGAAAGGGGGACGCGGGGAAAGTAGCACGTAGGCGGAAAAGAGAGAGAAAGAACGTAGGTAATCGGGAAGTCAGTGTTTTTCAAAGGGATAAAAAGTGTGTGTCGTGACGCTTTCCGTAAGAATATTTGTCACCGTCTTCCGTATCGATTTCAATCGCATCGTTCAGCTCTTTTAAAAAAGCGAATTAATTTATTCTCATCCAACAACTCCTTCTAAAATGTCAAATAAAATAAGACAAAAATAAGTCTGAGCGAGCATGACTGTCAGATACTTTTCAGGATATTAATTTAACAGCACTCTGTCATTTAGCGATAAAAATGGAACAACTGGGGAGAAGGTTATTGCACGATAAAAATAATCTATATCTGAACACAAAATCGTTTCGGTGACGAAAAGAAATCAGTAAAATATTTTTCTATCAAAACCAGGCAACTATCATTGACTGGTTTTATTTCAGAGTGCTAGATAAAACGGAAAAACAAGCTCATTAACACCCTGGTAAAGAATTAAATTTTTTACATAACAATATCCACGAATGCGTTCGTTTGACCAGGTTCACATAGAATAGTTTGACAAACTTAAAGAAAAAATCAAAGTGGTGCATGGCACGTTTCATCATGATTAAATAATTAGTCGATTAAACGTTGAAGCTATCGCAAGTGATGATAATTTGTATGTCCCGAGATATCGTCATTAAAAAATCTGCGGGACGTAACAAGTCGTGGCTTTTTGAGGGCGTGTATCGGATAAGGAGGTGTCGCGAGGCGATGATCCGTGACGCTGAAGTTCACAAAAGAGACGGGAATGCGAGGAAAAGGGCGATGTAGCAGAAGGAAGAGTGAAAGATGAGGAACACGATCAGACAGCTCGCGTTGCGGAAGAGAGCGAGAAAGGGAGAGAGAAAAAAGTTGAAGCGGTGCTCGGATTTACGCGGCACGTTACCCTAATGAAAATCGCGAAGGATGAATTGTAGGAGGGGCGGAAAGGTGGCTGGCTGAAATACACAGGGGTGGAATTAGAATATCAGAGACACGTTCGCAGTCTGTACATACGCTACACCAACACTTATTCCCGTCGGGCTATACGTATATAATACTTGTCGGTAGTTGACAAACCCTCGACATCAATTTCTCTCTCTGTCTCTAATTCCCCCTACCCTTGTCCTACCCCTTTTCTCTTCATCCGCCGCCCTTCCCCTGTTGCTTTACCCATTTCTGTCCCTGTCCCTTTCTCCTTCCTATCTCTTTTCACTACCCCCACCATCCCTTTCTCGCCCACGCTGACTCCTCGCGTCTCCCTCGCTCCCTCTCTTCGTTTACTTTGGAGATATCGATTACCGGCTCAACTCCCAACCCCCATCAACCCCGCTGTCACCTCTCCGAGCCCCCACCCCTTATCCACTCCCACTAGCACCTCCCTACCCTTCAACCACTCAACCTGGGCCGGCTTGCTGCTTGGTTGCTTGCACGGTGTCACATCGGTGTAGCAGTTTACAGAGATGGTACAGTTCGCGACAATTACGATCAAACGTACAGTTAACATCGGCGTACGATTCTCGCGAAACCAGGGGTATGAGGGGCTGCGATGGAAGTCGTGTCGCTTAACTGCTCCCCCTATGCTTCCGGATCGATCATTGCACGTTCCGTCAAGCATTATACATATATCATTTTTATCCGATTTTTCTTATTTTTTGGGGAAATAACAATTATCATTATGAATCATTGCACTGTCTCTCTACACTCTAAAATGTCTCCAAACCGCTTGAACTCAATGCCTCTGAAACGCTTTTAAATCGATCATAGCATCTTGCAAACATGTACTTACTTTCTCTTTACTCTTTTTCTGACGTCTCTAGCTTTCGTAGAACCTATTTATTAAGAAACACTAAAGTATTCACTATTGTACACACTAGACTATCTACCATTTGTCATGTTTAATCTTCTTCTTCCTTACTAAGACAGTACTTCATAAAAAACTAAACAATTTCATTTTTATCTTTTATTTTAATATCTTCGAAACGACTGAATCATTGAAACACGTTGAAATAGTACGAACGCTACCCGCGCTTTTAAATTGTACACCGCATTTTACAAACACGAACACATAATTCTCTTCCCGTTTATCTTTTCCTTGGTTAAAAGTCTTCATGTAAATGACTCAACTATTGTGATGCATTAAAGTAATGTTGAACAGAAAAAAGAGTGTTTCGCGGAACGATCGCGTCGCGTGGTAACAGTCGCGTTTTTCGTACGCGTTTAAAATAATAGCGGGCTCCTCCATCGGTGGTTTTTTTTTTACCGGAGGGTGGTGAAAATAAATCGAGGACCGAGGATCGCGACAGGGTTGTTGACCCTCCCGGTTCCGGGCAGCGTACGTTTTCGTATATACCTACCTAACAGCGCGGTGAAGAGAGAACAGTTTACAGAAGTGCATAACGGCCAGCGTAAGAGCACGTTCTCGAATATCGGTGAATTTATACACCGGGAATAAAACATGCGATCTGGTTTCTTTTCCTTTTGTCCATCCGCCCTCTTACTTTCTTTTCTCTGTGCGACCGTGTTACTACGAAAACATGGCGAATATTGCCTCCCCAAGAAAATACCATCCCTATCCTACTTAATGTACAACATAAATAAAAATCTAACCAGGTATTTAAATATAATAGTTAGGACAAATGAGAAATAAAGTAGAGGAGAATCGCGATTGGAATTGGTCATTCAAAATCTGCGTGTAAATTAGTTAGACATAATGTACTAGTTATTATATAAACTGTTACGGCACACTGACGTTGAAACAAGTTTTTAATCAATTCTGAACAGTTCTTTCATTCCCGAGTACGTGAATAAAGTTATTTAAACCCGGGAAATAAATAACAAGAAACTTATTTCCTCGCTGGCTTCTCCGCTGACCGATTCAGTTTGGTACAAATCCGCGAAACTTACTGTTTCTGTCTCTCTCGTCGAAACATCCGCGAAAAATCGTTCAACGAAATACGAGAAATAACGCGGGAAAACTAGGCTATTGGGAAGGCATTGGTTTCGTTAACCAATAATACAAAAAAAATAGACTATTTTTCACGCCTTTTGTGCGTTCTCATCCGTAATCGCAATTATCCATGGTGCACGAGAAATTCGATATAAATTTGTAACATTTCCAAACAAATAAATAGAAAGTTAAGAAGAGCGAATTGAATTAACTGATCCTATAAAAATTATCAATTGTTTGATTCCTCTAACAATTTTAATTGTTAAATTTGAATTCCAGAAGAATAAGGCGGTTCCCTGTTCTACTCGATAATAAATATTTAATAAAGACGCGAGAAATGAAATGAACCCTCGCGGCAAATACTTCGGTTCACGATAATGCCGCACTTTAATGTAGGTAAGTCCAAGTTAAGCTTCTTACCGATGACGATACGATTAGTACGGTTGGTTGAGCTAATTGCCTTCGCGCTGATGGGAACTGAATCGAAGAACCAGCAATATGAAGCGAGAACAATATCGATCGTTTTTCTCTGCAGGTTCCTGTACCCGGGATGGGTCACGACAAAGATTACCGAGTTCAATAATGGCCTTGTAATGTCGTTGCTTATAAAACCCGATTCCGTGGTTACGATTACGTTGTCTATTGGTAATTTCGACAAAACAGGCACGCGCGCTAACTGGCAATTTTTTTGAACGGTATGAATGGTGACGAATCATTGATGATTTCTTGGAAAAACGATAACTAAAAGATTGTTCGACGCATGTACACTAATTCAAAATGAAAACATTTTTTCCACTGTCAATAAATACAATTTTGGTCACATATGTACATTTAACTTGGTATTTCTGTTATTTTTCGTAAAATTGAATTTTCCTCTCACATTATGTATTTTTTTAACTTGCGCAAGTATTCCTGAACGGACGGTTGCAAAAAATTTGATTATAAAGCTAAGCTGGTTATACTCGTAGGAATGAAAAAACATGATTAAACACGAGTGTATCGTAAATTGAAAAAATTCTAGCGACTCGAGACAGACTATTTTATCAGGAAAGGAACGGGTACACATTCGATAAGTACACGCTTCGTTCGATTCAATCGAATTTTCACCGTGTGTTTACGATCCCCTGCGTATGTATCTACGTACTCTTCAACTACAGCGAATAAGCGTATATTCGAAGAAGATAAAAATACGTGAAGATGAACTTACAAAGTGCCTTACCATAACGTAATGCCTCTGCATCTCGGTTTTCTCGCTGGCCAACTTCTCGCATTCGATCTTCAGTCTGGAAAAAATGAAAACCGATTGAGGACGGAAACGAGTCAGACATGCGTTAAAGCGGAAATGATGCGCACTCGTCTAGGAAGTTCCGTATACGCTTGTACACATTTGCGTGTATAGGAGATAGGAGGAACATGAATGGATACACGCAAGCACATGGAGTAAGAGACTCCCCCCTCTGGGATTTGCAACGTCTTGAATTCATAGTGCAAAAACGTGGCATGTGCCTCCGGAAAATAAGATCGAGTTCGTCGATGAAAAAGCCGAAGAAATAAAGAAGAACGATGTTATCAATTACCGATATCGAAGAATATCCAGAAGAAGAATGATTAAGGAAGACCTTATAGAAACATTTTTCATTATATTATCTAATAGGCACACAATGAAACGAAATTATTTCACAGCGCATTCAAATCGACGAAATATAAAGTAATTATTGGTACTCCAACCCAGATACTTATTACAAGCCTCGGAATAACCGACAACTGATTTGAAATTCGTCGAAATGGAAATTAAATGTAAAGAGTTTCGAATACGTTTCAGTTAAGAGACTAAGGTAATCAAGTGGCTTTTTTAACATATTTGACATTTTTTTATGTCTTTTACCAATAGCCCAAAGAAAGGCATGCAAAATATGCCAAGTTCTTATAGTGTACGAATATTTTTGGGTCGTCAAGTACCTTTTCGGAAAGTGGAGGGTCCAATCTAGCGCACTGTGGTTAACCATTTCATTCAGAACAGTCTTTAAATTACATAAAAATACATAAATTCAACAGCTGTATGTTTTGTGATTTTTGGTTCATCTTTGTAAAACTTAAATTACTAAATATTAACATAATCACGTTACATAATGACGACAGTGCACTAGATTGAACTCTCCTCTTACCAAAGAGATGCTTAACAACGCAAAAATATTCCAATGTAAGGACGAAAAGCGGACTCCCGTAATCTCACATTTTCTCCTAATTATGCCAGAAATTCTGTCGCTCTACGTTATCGTATGATCCACGAGTTGAGCCTCTTAACATGAAATCTCATTTAACAAATGTTTAATCCTTCGGTTACATCGAATCATATGGAACGACAAAACTTGGATCTTCTTAAAAATCTTTAATGACTCATGTATTGAACATTCATTAATACGAATCCCACCTCCAAATATTTAGCCCAGGATTTCTTACTCGCAATTCCATTGGAACACGCGAGGCGGAAGACCCGCTTGGCGCGTTATTAGGTGGAGACGACGCGACGCAATGTCGCATTGTCGTTGCTTCGCGAGCAAACAATTCGAACTTTCCTCTACCGAATAAGAGAGTTCGAAGCGATCAGCGTGCAACACCGTCAACGGAGTGGTTCAGGCAACAATCCCTGAAAAAGGGGATAGCGAAGAAAAGAGCGGGAGGAAGACAGGCAAGGCAAGCATTGGGCGTCAATAATCGCGGATCTTCGAGAAATGCGAGACGGAAGAGATGAATAGACGCGAGAGAAACTGCGAGAAGAGCGGGTGGAGAAAGAAAAACAAGGAGCGAGCGAGGCCGAGCCGAAGAAAGGAGGAAGAGAACTCACGAGTGGTTCTGTTGCTGGATGAAATTGAATTCCTCTTTGATCCTCTCGCAAGTGTCGGCCACCGTGAATTTCAGCCCTCCCGCAGCCCCGCCGCTTCCTCCGCCACCCTGGAACAAGAGTAAAAAAAATATTAGAGGACGGAATTCGATTAGCATACACGACAAAGCAGTTGCGACAAAGAATAAAAAATAGATCAACCAGAACACTCAAGCAATATGCTGATTATAAGGTGTTACGACGTTACGAAGTATGTATACGAAGAGTAACGGGAGTATTTTTCATTATAATGTTAGTGTTTAATCAACCCCAATTACAATTGTGATAACTTTCATTCGAAAATAGTACAGTTAATTTATAGCACAATAATAAGGAACCTAAAAGAATTGTCACTTCAGATTTGAATAGACAAAATTGCAGAACCTAATTTCAAATATGTATACATATTTTGAAATTCTGAAAGCAACATTCATCCTCGCAAAATTCCGAGTGTACAAGATACTATAGTTATACTATATACGTAGATACTATACTGTATAATGTATATTATATACTTCAAAAGCAACATTATACATTCGGAACTAGTATTAAAAACTACGTTCTTGTTCCTGTAGTAAAAAAAAAGATTCAGTCGACTTAACAAGCAAGATCTCCATCGACAATCGGAACAGACGATGCGATAACAGCGCTGCCACGAACGACGGGACTTTATTTATGAAATCTGCGCGCTGGGGAAAAACTTCTAAAAGAGCACAGAAGTAACCACGAAGAAATCTCGTTACGCCGGAAATCGTGAACAAGAAGAAAAGCTCGACATCACGTCGGAGTAAAAATTTAGAATAAAGTTTAATAAATCTGAATTTGAAGAAAGCCGGCAACGGAAACCCGGGAACGGATAGCAAATTCTAATGAGGATGGCCTTGGAGAGAGTGTGTACATATATATGTACAATGTACATCGCCAATTTTCTTCAAAATGATGTATTTGTCAATATGCTAGTTGCACAAGGAGATTAGCAACAGATGTGTGCATTAGCGCACAACATCATGGACAAATATGTACGAGGCAAACTTATTTTGCAAATAACTCATATTTGAAAGTCGATTAGCAATCTTTTTAAAGGAAAAAGTTGTGGTAAATTCTGCTCTCTAAGGAAGACATCAATAAAGCTAAAACACCTTTTGATTCAAATGTGTAATGTGGGTGCTAGAACTTGATGCTAGAGCAGATCAATTTTCGAATGGTGTCACAAGAGTGAAAGTCGAAGATGACGAGCAACCACCATCAAATGGCCTTCAAGCGCGTAAGGCGGTGTACGCAAACACACAAAATCGGGGCTCGGAAACACGAGGAGAGAGCGTCCATCCAGGTATAAAAGACGAGCGCCTTCGTAGACCGAGAGGGAGAAACCGAAGCCTGAAGAACCAAAGATGAAGGGCCATGAAGGCGTTCTTAATGAGACCCATTCCACCAGGTAGTACAGGGTCTCTCTATCTACAGATTCTTCAACCGCGTATACACCGACACTGTGCCGCGCCGCGTCGGTTGAAATTATGAAGAGAAAAGGATCAGACTTTCCGATGACAGTAATGATTGCATTACACACGCAAAGACACGTACACGTGGTGATGAAGCAGAAAGAGGAAGAGGAGGAGGAGTAGGAGGAGGAGAAGCACGTGCACAACATAATTGTAATTCCCCCCGCGGCGTTGTCAATCGAATTTCACAAGTACACTCGAAACACGCTAGTGGAAGAATTAATAGAAACCAATCCGACTGTGCAAGTTCCCTTTCTGAATAGATGTTTCTTCAATAATTTGGCGCATGTCATTATTTTGTTTGTGACATTGTATTTCTTTCGATTTGCTATATTCGTTTGAGACGCCGATTAAAAGAGTATAAGCTTAAGGATGTATAGGCTATATACTTAAACAATTCAATTTGTTATTATAGA